GTAGGCAGACATTTGTGGCTGTCAAACCACAAGAATTTGGTAGGTCTGCCCGCAGATCCGAATCGGTCACCACTGGAAAGCCAGATGTGATCTGGCGGGGTCGGCGCGTAAAAGACGAACGCCGCCGACGTGGCAAAGAAGGTTGTCGGTAAGACAAAGATCCCCGCAGATTAGCATCAACACGACGTCGAGAGGAAGGGGGACTGGGAGGAGGAGAGAATGAACGGGCCTGCCGACGTCCCAATATATATATATATATATATATCTCACACACACACACACACACACACACACACACACACACACACACACTCTCTCTCTCTCTCTCTCTCTCTCTCTCACACACACACACACACATAGAAACCAAATAAAAAGCAAACACGCGCGCGAGAGCGGAATCCAGCATTCAGCAATCAACCACTCAATGGGTTAGGTGTCATTACCTCTTCTCGCCCCCAGTATAATACTCCTGAGGCCTGTCGGAATCGCTATCGGAGCCATCCCGGTCCCGGCCGAGATCAGACARTGTCCTTACSCCTCCACGTGCCGCACTTTTGGATTTCCCCTTACCCGCATCGGATCCCGACGCGCCCATTCCACGACGACCGCGGTCCGAGGGTTCCATCCTCCCTCCTGTGCCTCCTCGAAAACCCACTCAGGGTAGAGACCAAGCTCCGCCCCCCTCCGGGCAGGCAGGCAGGTCGACTACTTCCTGATCGTATTCACTTGCTTGGCACGCCAGATCCGACCAATTGCTTAAGCATCCCTGTCGTCATAGCGATCCGCTTTGTGGAAGAATTACACGCCCTCCCTCAAACGCCCTCCCTCCCTCCCTCCCTCACCAAGGTCCCGCTGTCCCATCAACAATCAACAACGCCCTGACTGTACTGCCCACACCCAGCGCAAACCTCACATCAGCACCGAGACGCGTGGATGCACGGACAGCTACCAAATAGCAACGAACAGGGTCCTACGGAGGGGCTGCCAGCAGGCTACCATGTACGCCAGAACACAGCGCATCCTCATAATAACTGTTCTGTATTAGGCCGGAAAGATAAGCCATATACATTCACTCGCGACGGTAGTGTGCGTGTCCGCGGAGGGACAAACGAATTTCATCTGTCGGACTGCCCCCCCGAAGGAAGGGGGGGCGGGGGGGGGCGTGGAGAGGAAAGCGGGGGACCATGCTACCCGTCTTCCCCCGAACATAACGCACCCTAAAAATGAATGTATAGGAGTTATATTTCCGGCCAGATACAGCCAAAACGAGGGTGCGTTGTGTTCAGGGGAACACGGTAGGCGTTGGAATGTGGTAGGAGGCACAAAAACCGGTAGAAGTTCCATTTAGATCACAGTGTTCCAAAAGAGGGCTAGAGTGGACCGTAGAAGGTTCTCTTTTTTTCTTGAGAAAACTACGGTGCAGTCAGGGATTGAGTTTGTAATTGCAGTTGAGGCAAAAGGGCCGGTAATGCTGAATGTATATGACCTACGTTTCGGGTCCGGTGGGGTCGCGAGGGGGTGTGTTGTATTCGCGGGATTGCATGAAGTGCAATTACAAACTGTTTTCGTGACTGCGCCGAAGTTACCCCTTTTTCCTTTCTTACCGTGGGGGCACGGGTGTGCAGCCCGTAGTTCCTTTGTTGATGCAGTTGGGGGAGGGGGAGGTAGTGATTATGGAGTGCATATGTTTTGCTATGTTGGCTGTACACAACTCGAAGAGTGGGGGGGGGGGGTTCGGCTGGTGCTCCCGGTTGTTTTTTAGAAGTCGCTCCATTAACGCGCCAGGACTTTCGGGGGTCGGACAAGCCAACTTCCAGTCTCTTGTTTCAAAAAAAAGAAAAGAAAAAAAAAAGAAAGAATGAATGAAAAGAAAAGAAAAGAAAGCACGAATCTCTCCCACGCCAAGTCTTGTGCTTAAAGTCGGCGTGAATCTCTCTCTCTCTCTCTCTCTCTCTCTCTCTCTCTCTCTCTCTCTCTCTCTCTCTCTCTCTCTC